TTCAGTGTGATGGTGAGGCGTTCAGAGTGATGGTGAGGCGTTCAGTTAGTGTGATGGTGAGGTGTTCAGTGTGATGGTGAGGCGTTCAGTGTGATGGTGAGGCGTTCAGTGTGATGGTGAGGCGTTCAGAGTGATGGTGAGGCGTTCAGTCAGTGTGATGGTGAGGCGTTCAGTTACTGTGATGGTGAGGTGTTCAGTGTGAGTGTGATGGTGAGGCGTTCAGTTACTGTGATGGTGAGGTGTTCAGTGTGATGGTGAGATGTTCAGTGTGATGGTGAGGCGTTCAGTTAGTGTGATGGTGAGGCGTTCAGTTAGTGTGATGGTGAGGCATTCAGTGTGATGGTGAGGTGTTCAGTGTGATGGTGAGGCGTTCAGTTAGTGTGATGGTGAGGCGTTCAGTTAGTGTGATGGTGAGATGTTCAGTGTGATGGTGAGGTGTTCAGTCAGTGTGATGGTGAGATGTTCAGTGTGATGGTGAGGCGTTCAGTTAGTGTGATGGTGAGATGTTCAGTGTGATGGTGAGGCGTTCAGTCAGTGTGATGGTGAGGTGTTCAGTGTGATGGTGAGGTGTTCAGTGTGATGGTGAGATGTTCAGTGTGATGGTGAGGCGTTCAGTTACTGTGATGGTGAGGCGTTCAGTTAGTGTGATGGTGAGGCGTTCAGTGTGATGGTGAGGCGTTCAGTTAGTGTGATGGTGAGGCGTTCAGTGTGATGGTGAGGCGTTTAGGATCACTCTGCTCTAATTCGCTCTTAGTGTCATTAAAACGGTCATTTCCAAATTAAACAGGAGCAGCGTTCAGGGACCGTCTGAAGACACAAACCATCTTCTGCGCTCGGCTGCTCTTCTGAGGTGGCTTCATTACAGAGCCCATTAAAAATAATCACTTACACACACAGACACAGACAGGCACAGTGTGTGTGTGTGTGTGTGTGTGTGTGTGTGTGTGTGTGTGTGTGTGTGTGTGTCAGAGCAGCTAATGCATTAATTTAATTAGCAGCATTAGCGGAGGATCATCCCACACAGAGGGGAGATGTGAAGAGAGGGAAGTGTAACGCTGAGGAGGGTGAAGTGTTTCAACAGGAAGGTCGCTCCCTGCACGTCTGATCATCAGCTGATCAGACGTTCACCTGCCTCACCTGCAGCTCCTTCACCTGCAGCGCTGCACAGGAACAGGAAGTTGACTTACCTTAGCGCTGTCTCAATGCCAGATTTTAAACTTTGATATATAAATATATCAATATAAAAAATGACACAATGTTGATTCCTGTTTGATACCAAGGGAACAAAAGTAGAAATCCAATTTGCGTTCTTTTCTTGTTTTTAATTATCAAACTCCTGCACGCTGTCTGAATTGCACAACTACATGGCGGTGAACTGTTGCCAACGTGTGTGTGCAGTTCAGACGGTATGCAGCAGCTTTTGGTTTAAGATGTGACTGAAGATCGGAAGTTTTTTTTTAAAGCTTCTAAATCAACTTTTTGATCAACTGTCCATCATTAATATAAATTATTAACAATTGTTGACAACCTGAATGTTCTGTGTAGTCATCTTGTTATTGTGTTTTCCTTCTGGTGTGTGTGTGTGTGTGTGTGTGTGTGTGTGTGTGTGTGTGTGTGTGTGTGTGTGACTCAGACACTTTAATCTGTCAGTTTTTTTTAAACAGCTGCACTCTGATGTCTCTTTGTGCTTCTGCAGCGCGACATGTTCACTAACAATAAGAGTCTTTGTGACACTGTGTAAACACACACACACACACACACACACACACACACACAAACACACACACACACACACACACACACACCTGCTGCTCTGATCACAGGTTGTGTAACACACACAGAGAGGAGAAACATGGCGTCAGACAGTAAAGACGTCGTTCAGCAGCAGAAACAAAGTGATGAGGAATGAGCTTCAGACGTGATTGTTTCTCCTCCTGTGTGGGCGGGACTTGACACGCTCTGTCTCGATTTCCTGTCAGTTATTTGTCTTTTCTTTGACGGGTCCCTCCTCCTCCTCCTCCTCCTCCTCCTCCTCCTCCTCTAATTGACTCATTATTTGGTTTATTCTGAGCGAGCAGTGCTTCTTTAATCGTTTGTTTCTTGTCAGTCAGTCTGGATCAGAGCTGCCCTCAAGTCGAAGACAATTTAAATTTTGCAATTTTGCAAGTTAGCATATATTGGCGTTTCCACTGTCAACATTTAAGAACGGTAGCAAAATCACAACGACACACCGCAGTCCGCGATTGGTCGAAAGAATTGTCACTTCCTGTAATTGCAAGACTGTGTTTGATTTTTTTCAACTAACGTCCTCACATAGCTCCGCCCCCATTGAGGTGCTGGTCGTCCTCCATTGTTGCCCTTCACTTACAATGTCTTCTTCTTCTTCTTCGTTGGATGTGATGGCAGGCTACTTACACCTAGCTTACCAAGTGAGGGAGCGGTTAGCTGTTAGCGAGCATGATCAGGGTTCTGAACTGAACTGGACCGCTTGGTGGAAACT